TTTTTAATTATATTAAATAATAATACATATTACAATAAATATAATACTAGTCTTAAACCATTACTATACTCAATACCCCCCCTGCGGACTGACGGGCCGTGGACCGTAACCCCCCGCCCTTCTTCTCATTTACTACCTAGGTAGCCTGCGTAATCCAACTATGCCGTTCTCCCTTCCTTATTATCGAGATGCTTGTCAATTACCAGGGCCTCTTCCTGATCAGAATGAAATTGAACAGGCAACAAGAACCCTCCCCAAGAGATCAGACTATGGTGGGCGCCTGGTTGTTATCAGAAACACATATGTTGTGAAATATGGCCCACTTGTGACTGAAAACGAGGGATATGCTCTACTTTTTGTTGAAGAACAGCTCAACATCCCAGTGCCACAACTCTACGCCATGTACCGCGATCGGGACACCCTGTATATTGTCATGGAATACATCCCCGGCATTTCTCTAGGGACGGTGTGGCCTTCGCTCACTGAGGCAGATAAAGATTCGATTGTTAGAGAATTGCGATGCATCTTTAATCAAATGAGAGCGCTGGCGTCGCCTGCATTTTACGGCAGTGTCAACCAAGGACCCGTTCCCCATAAGTATTTCTTTTCTCGTGAAAAAGACACCGCCGTTACCGGCCCCTTTCAGACAGAAGAAGAATTCGGAAAAGCCATCGCACTTCGCTCAAGAATCATGTGGAGCGAATCAAATAGTCACAGCTTTCTCTCCGACTATCTTGCTCGTCACCTCCCGTCAGCACTTCGCAATCATCCGCCTACGTTCACCCATGGAGATCTCTACAGGGAGAATGTCTTTGTCAAAAAAGCCCTCAACTCTGCTACGAATAAAGAAGAGTATGCAGTAGCTGCTCTTGTCGACTGGGAGACGGCTGGATGGTATCCTTCGTACTGGGAATACGCTCATGTTTTCCCCTTATTGCAGTGGATTGACGACTGGCCGGCGTATATTGAGAAGATTATTGATCCCTTGCCGCTGGAAGGCGCCATGATGCGGATTGTCTTTAGTGATATGGAGTTCTAATGTGGAATACGCACCGTGGAGGGAGCCGCGTTCAACTCCCATGCGAGCGAACACGTCGCGACTTGCCCCAGACCATCCCGCATGGCATTTACAGGAGTCATGACCATGACAGTCGTGATCGATGCCCTCGATGAACACGCGGGAGACCAGGACGTCACAGCGGCTATCAAGTTACTGTTACAGAAGGATCCTCCAGCAGTACCTTGAAGCTTGTGGTGGTGGGATTATTCCAAAGTGATCTTAGATCAGATCGAAGCCGCAAATCAAGCCCTAATTTGAAAAGATTGACGAATGAGCGGGCTAGCCAGGTTTTGCTTTCCGATGTAGATTGCACCGATGAAGGAGGTCAAAGGAGGGGCTCGAGGTCCCTTCGCTCCATACTGCCACTGAATTAACCTAACCAGGTTCTATATGTTCCGCGAGATATTCTTAACGGTATCTCATGATATCGTGACTGGGTCTATGTCAGCCGGAATCCCATTGCTTCGCAGATCCTGGAAGCGGCAACATAGGTCTTCGTACTCCCTTTTGACTCGAACAAGCTTACTGTTGAAGTTGATGGGGATGAAGCTGCCAATGTCTCGAAGACCCTCGCGCGCTGCACCAACGTGCAGCTGGACAGCTGCTCTAACAGTGGCGTCGAGGCCGTGCTAAATGCCGTTAATAATGCTGTCGAACTTGCTAGGGATGCTGCCGATGCTGCTCCTGCTGGTTTACTGCCACTACTCCCGTCGTATTCTTTAAGGACACCGGCACTGATACCCGGAATACTGCAGCTGCTCGGAAGGTTCCGTGCTATTGCTCCCGAAGCCTCTACATCCGACTCTGGCGGAACTACCCTAGGGTATATACTCCTGTGTCGATGTCTATCAACGCTGCACCTCTGGCGCCCTGGCTTATACCATTTCTAAGGTTAACGAGATTGCCACCTGCGATGCCTTCTACGATCTCCCTGCGGTTGCCAATTCTTGCTATGATCAGGACCAAATTGGTGTTACTGTTTATGAATTCACTCATGCTTCAGCAATCGCCGACCCTCCAACTCGCGACATTGCTATCGGATACTCTGCGTCTGTCGCTTTTTCTGCTGCCCAGGCTCTAGAGAATGCAGATTCTTACCGTTTGTTTGCTCAAGTATGCCTTCTATAGATGTTTTTGTGTCTGCTAATAGTGAGACTAATGTATCGTAGGTGCTCGCCTCAACTGGACTGATGAGGATGCTATGCTGTCTATTCATGACGTTGTCGATGAAACTGCGTCGTCGATTGATGGAAAGTATATCGCTGATTTGTAAAGTACCGGACACGTCTCGCTCTTTTATGCTATTTCCTATGCTGCTGATCGGCTGAACATATCACTCTTTCCCAAAATTTCGGACAGATCTCGCTCTTATACTTGTTTTATGCTGTTTTATTCAGATACCTAGGTAGCTGCTGAAACATACTCGATGCAGAACTTTATTGTATCATTTGTAAAGATTCTTTGGTAGAAACTTTCCGCAACTTTCTCTCTCAGGTCTTCTGGAGTAAGCAAACTAGGTAGACAGGCTCAAGTCCCACTGCATCCTGCTCTACCTATTTCTTTCTTTTTCATAGCCCATCAGATTCTTTATAGTACTAAATGATGTAGATCGCAAGCCTATACCTCACATCTAATGGGCGATCAATAGATTTATTGGACAGATAGCTAAGTTTTAAGATGTCAGGGGCAAGAGGTGAAGTAGTGCGTGATTCCACCAAACCTGCACTATTTACCTTCCTTTTGTAACTCACAACGATAGTTCTTGCTGTATACGACTCTATTACTAGAGATTGAGGGAAGTGGCAGTCTAGCTAGACTACCAGTACCATATGTTATACATACCATTCCAATTGCCATGCAGGCTAACGGTGCTTACCACAGTCCATACGCTGCACTACAACCCTTCCATTCACCTCCAGTCCACCCCCAGCCCTAACCACCCTACACGCCGCACCTCAATCTCAACCTCACCTCACCAGACAGACACCTGCAAGCCCAGCCGCCATCCGAGGCTCCCTCCCCCCCCCCTAAACATACGTATCGTAAACAGAAACACAGTACGCCTCGCCAACCCAAAGCCCACTCGTGCAGTCACCCGCAACAGCCGGATTCCACTCTAGAAACTGCACCACCGTCGTGCTGAACTGCGCAGCGATGCTGGCGCATGTATCGCCCGCTGCAAGAGAGGACTCAATCAGCATGCATTCAAGCCCGCAAGACAGGACGAGACAAAGACTCGGTCTGCTAGAGGGGCGACCTACACTGAACAACATAGTACTCGTCGCAGGTGATCGGGATCCCTGTCTGCGTGGGCGCAGGCGCAGAAACGTACACGCCGACGCAGTAGGCCTCGTCGGCCCAGAAGCCCGTCGTGCAGTCGGCGGAGATGGAGGGGTTCCAGGAGAGGAACTGGGCTTCTGTGAGGCCGTATTTGGCTGCGAGGGTTGCGCAGGTGTCGCCGGCTTTGGTGGGTTAGCTTCTGCTTGGTTCATATATAAAAAAAGGGTGCGTGAATGGGCGTACCTTGAGCCACTGCGTACTTGATACAGTCAGCCGGGATGCCGGATTGGGTTGCGGCGGGCGGGGTGATGGTTGTTGATAGGGTTAGGGAGGCCGAGGTAGTTGTGGTTATTGCTGTGGTCGTCGTCGAGGTGTTGCTGGCGACGCCGACACAGTAGTCCTCGTCGGCCCAGAAGCCGCTGGTGCAGTCGGATGAGACGGCTGGGTTCCAGGCGAGGAAGTCGGCGAGGGTGATGCCGAATTCGGCGGCCACGGAGGCGCAGCTATCGCCGGCTGAGGGTGAGTGTTAGTGGGGAGATCTTGTGGAGAGGAGTGGACTTGCATTGTGCGGCGTAGTATGCATTGCAGTTCGAGGCGATGCCCGTCTGGGTGGGAGCCGATGGCGAGGTGGCGGCTGTGACGGTGGAGGTCTGGTTCGTCGCGGTCTGGTTGCTGTACTGCCAGCCGTCCAGGGGATCGACGCAGTAGGCGTCGCCGGTGACGAGGTCGGCGTCGCAGGTTGTGTAGTTGAGCGAGGGGTTCGCCTCGGTGAACAGATGTATGGCAATGCTGTTGGCCAGGCAGATGGACGAGCAGTTGTAGTTCAGGGCGGCGGTGTTGACGAACCAGGAACCGCAGTCGAGGGTTGTCCCGACGGCGACGTTGACGCCTGCAGGAGGGGAGACCGCGCTGGGGGTGTCCGAGTCAGAGGTCGAGTTCAAGGCCTGCCCGGTGTATGTCCCACCGGGGGGCGAGACGCAGAGCACAGAGCCCCAGTCCGGGTTGGCGGAGTGGAGGTTGGAGCAAGCCGCGTCCAGCTCGGTGTTCCAGTTAACTAGCTGCGTGCTCGTGATGAAGTTGGCCACTGCGATGCTGGGGCAGCTGTCGTTGGTCTGCACGGAGTAGACGTTGGTGCAGGTCAGCGGCAGGCAAAGGGTGGTGCCGGCCGTGATATCGGAGCAGTTGACAAGGCCCGGGTTGATGTAGTACATTGTCGCCGACGAGACCCCCTTGGCTAGGGCAATCGAGTCACAGGTATCACCTTCGTTGGCTGTGTAAATGTCACCAGACGTACAGCTGTCCGCTGTCGTCGTCGGCACGGATGCGTTGAAGGCGCTGGTGGTAGCGTTGAAGTCCGTCACGGTGAGGTTGCAGGCAGCGGCGACATACTCATACACCGATTCCCAATCCGCGTTATAGGTGTCTGAATAGGCGTCTCCCTGCATCAGCTCCAGCTTCTTGACATAGCAGTACGAGCATAGATCCGCGCTTGGAATCTCTTCAAGGGTGGTGAAGTTGTTCCAGGAGGCGATCTGGTCTGGAAATTCTTAGCAGAGGCCAGAGGAGAAACGGGCACTGGTTACTCACCATTGCAGTTTGCACCTGTCGTCGGGTCCGTAAAGCAGGACTGGTTCCAGTTACTCCAGAGCTGGTTGACGAGATCCAAGTACGACATTCCGGGGATGAGCTCGGCGGAGGTGCCACAGCTGGCCGACACGGAGTCATGCAGCTGTGCAATGGAAGCCTCGCAGCTGGCTGCACAGACCAGAGCGGTTGTGGCTGCTTCGCCGGAGCTACTGATGTAGCCATCGGTGATGAGGTCCGAGACAGCTGAATCACAGTCAACCGTCTGATACAGCGCATCTTCGCAAGCCGAGGACAGGCCAAGGCTGGACAGAGTCCCATTGGGGAACATAGACACGCCCTGGGATGCCACAACAGCGTCCGCCGTCCGCGCTTGAACATGGAAACGGCCATGGGAGAAAGAGTGCGCGGCGAGGCCGGCAGGGAAAGAGGACACCGACAGTAAAAGGGCGAGGCCAGGCGCCATGGTGATGAACCTGGGTGATAGTTGAAGCTCAGCAGGGAGAAGAGCAGTCTTAGCAACTCGTCAATGTGGGCAGTGGGATGGACGTGAGCGGTTCTTAATCTCGGCAAAGCTGAAGGATAAGTAAAAGTGCTCTCAGACAGCTGACAAGCGCTTCCTACTTTGAATGCAATCTCCGAAGGGGTACATGTTGGTGAAGTCTCGGATGGGACGATTCAGACTGCGACATCACTATCAGCAATCGGTAGACGGACATTGCAGCAATCCTAGCAATCGTAGCTGAGGAATTCACAGAACTTGCGGCGGCAATTTCCGACAGAAGACATGGGCATTGCTTCCAAGTCTGGTCCTTAGGGTTCAGCCAATACCTGCGAGAATGGCTTTCTTCAGCCTAAAAATGCCCTGCCAAGCTGACAATAGTAGATGAATCAGTGTATCCACCAAGTTGAAGATCATAGGCCCCTTTCCTACAAGTGGAGGCGTCCGGCTATACGGCAGCCTGCTTTGGGAATGGCTCACGGAGCAGGCCTCCAAAGTGAGCCTAGCTGGCGAGCTTAGCTAGAGATAAGCAAAGTTTGGAGGCACAAGCTCAGTCGGGGAATGCTTAGCTACGGCTCGGGCTTGTTTAGTCCAATTGGATGTCCTGCATGGAGACCGTTCTCAGCCGCGCCCTGCCGGAGGGTCTATGGTATATTGCAGCTGAACTGCAGAGACTGTCAGACAACATCCATGGCAATCTCCGGCCTCGTCAGGTACGCTCTCACTTAAGCCTTTTCGGAAGCCGTTAATCTATTTGCAGCGTTTTGAATGGCTTGACTTGTATCATACCTGCTATTGCCATGGATGATATACTCCAACCTTCATGACAAATGCAGAGACTGAGGCTGTCAGATGTAACCCCAATCTCACCTGGCTCGAATCAGAATCATGTCATCTATTCACAGTGTTTCAAATGGTTTGCCACTGCATCTAGTGTATGCAGGTACCCACATGGAGTTGAGCACATGGCTCTAGTATTGTGTACCTCTTGGCCATGCGGATACTGACTCTTGTAATGTCAGTAGATATCCAGTGCTGAGCTCAGAGTATATAGTACGTACCAACTTCCACTTGTAGCCAACACCTTCATCAGTGAGCGCCTGTCTATCAGACATCTTACCATTCTTTTCCTACTTTTACCCTCTTTTCTAACATTGGCCTCGTAAGGGCTACACTCTCCTTGTCAACACCCAACACTCTTTTAAAAGTATACATATATCATCTTTCCTTTTGTGAACCCGATGTTAGCAGGTGTGGCCCTGACGCTGCTCGCCAGCCTGGGCGTCGGGGTATCGGGGGTAGCAGCAGACACATCCTGCAGCGCCACCGTGCCCTGCGAGATCGGCTGCTGTGGCCAGTATGGCGTCTGCGGCATGGGGCCGGACTACTGCGGCGCCGACGTGTGCATCAACAACTGCGACGCCAAAGCCGAATGCAACCCCGGCAGCTGGCCGGCCGAGTATGTCAATGCCACGACCTGCCCGCTCGACGTCTGCTGCAGCCCGTATGGCTTCTGCGGCACAACCGAGGAGTTCTGCGGCAACAAGACTGTCACCGTGCCCTCGTGTGATGCCAGCTCCCAGTCCATCGCCCGCGTGATTGGGTACTACAACTCGGCGGCTGCCACGCGCGGCTGCGATGGCATGGCGCCCTACTCTGTGCCCCAGGGCGTGTACTCCCACATCTACTTTGCCTTTGGGAGCATCGACCCGGACACCTTCGAGGTCATCCCCGCAGCGCAGAGTGATGAAACACTCTACCAGCAGCTGGCGGCATTGCAGTATCGCGATTCGGAGCAGGAACTGTGGATATCGATTGGAGGGTGGGACTTCTCGGACAGCGTCCAGCGCACCGCGACGACCTTCTCCGACTTGGCGGCTGCTGATTCCGATCAGCAGAACGTGTTTTTTGTTAGCTTGCTCAACTTCATGAACACTAAGGTTGGGGCTTTACCGGGGTGGACATCGACTGGGAGTATCCAGCTGCGGATGACCGCAACGGCCGTGCAGAGGACTATGACAACTTCCCGACCTTCCTGGCGGGCTTGAAGAGCGCGCTGAGCGAGTACAGCTACGGGCTGTCCATCACTCTCCCCACCAGCTACTGGTACCTGCAGCACTTTGACCTCAAGTCGATTGAGCCCTCGGTTGACTGGTTTAATTTCATGGCGTACGACCTGCATGGGACTTGGGATATCGGAGACGAGTGGACCGGGCCCTACCTGGATGCTCACACGAACCTGACCGAGATCAAGACCGCGCTGGACCTGCTCTGGGGTGTGGATGTCACCCCGTCCAAGGTCAACCTTGGCCTGGCCTTCTACGGCCGCAGCTACACCCTGGCGAGCGGCGCGTGCTCGGAGCCTGGCTGTGAGTATCTCTCCGCGGGCACGGCGGGCACCTGCAGCAACACGGCGGGCGTCCTGTTCAACAGCGAAATCGAGCAAATCATGCAGGAGAACGGCGTCAATGGGACGCTGTACGAGGAGGCGGCCGTCAAGGTCATCACCTGGGACACCGACCAGTGGGTCTCGTACGACGACGAAGAGACCTGGAAGCTCAAAGCCGACTACGCCAAGTCGGTGTGCCTGGGAGGCGTGCTGGTCTGGTCCATCGGCGAGGACGACGAGATGCACACCTTCTCCAACGGGCTCGCGGCCGCGCTGGGGAACCCGGTCAACATCAACAGCACGACGGGGCTGGGATTGACGCTCACCGGCGACGAAACCAGCACCACCACCACGACCTCCTCGCAGGACAGCGTCTGCCGGTTCATCAACTGCGGCGACACCTGCCCCGCCGGGTTCAAGGAGATCACGCGCGAGGACAAGACGAGCCAGCTCATGCTGGACTCGACCGAATGCCTGACCGGGGGCGGCCAGACGCAGACCCTGTGCTGCCCAACCTCGGAGGACCTGCCGACCTGTCGCTGGCGGGGCTTCCACAACAGCGGCAAATGCAAGGGGGGCTGCGACGACGGCGAGGCCGAGGTGGGCACGATTACCAGCGGCTGCCACTCGGGATACCAGTCGGCCTGCTGCACCGTCACCAACTCGACCCAGCCCTGGGCGGACTGCGCGTGGACGGCCAAGTGCGAGTCCGACGACACCTGCCCGTCCGGGTACGACCAGTTCGTGGTGGGCTCTCGCCAGGGCTGGGGCGGGCGCTCCTCGTGCTCGGGGAGCAAGAACTACAACTACTGCTGCAAGGGCTCCATCCCGGACGCCTTCACCAACTGTGCCTGGACCGGGCACGAGGTCAGCTTCCCCAACACGCAGTACTGCACCGACGCATGCCCCTCGGGAGCCATCCGCATCGCAGAGGAGAGCATCCAGGTGCTCATGGGGGGCAACAAGCCCGGCAAGGCGGACAGCTGCAACTTTGGCAACGAGGCCTACTGCTGCAACGGCACGACGACGACGACCACCACCACGACGGCCCCGCGCTCCGACCCCTACGAGGACCAGACGGCGTATGAGTTCCACTACTACCTGGGCCAGTGGCTGGCCGACCCGAGCTGCTCGGCCAACGAGGACGCACAGTACAGCGCGGCCTTTGAACGGCGGGACAGCACGGCGGACCAGGAGCGCGTGTTCACGACGCTCGTGCAGATCCTGGTCGTCTGGATGACCGCGCCCACTGCCCGCACCGACCTGGACACGGACTTCAACAGCCAGCTGGCGGACTATGGCCTCCTCGCCGAGTCCGCCAACCTGGCCACCTTCCGCGACACCTTCTACGGCACGGGGACATGGTCGGGGACCTCGACCTACGACCCGGAGTCCATCGTGTCCGAGTGGCTCTGCAACATCGCCGACTCCCAGCAGGCCATTGCCGACCTCGGCGCCGCCAGCACCGCGCTGTGCCAGGCCAGCGACTTCATCTACAAACGCTCGCTCCATGAAGTCGACGTCGACGAAGCCGACCTCGACAAGCGCAAGCTAGACTCAACCAGCACCAACGCCCGCAACGGCGCCGGCACCCAGCCCACCGTCGCCCAAGCCCTCCGCGGCGTCGTCAACGTAAGCCCAGCGCCCCCACCTCACCCAATCCCCAAATCCAGTGCGGTGCACTAACATTACCACCCCCCAAAGGGCGATCTAACCCTACACTACGCGCGCTGGATCCCAGGCACCGCCCGCCCCGAGGTCATCCTCGAGCTGGCCTTCTGGATGGGGCCGGACGCAGGCACGCCGCCCACGGCCTCCATGCTAGCCACGTACGGCGACACGGGCGACACGGCGCCCCCAGACCTCTGGATCGTCTTCCACCTGCACATCACGCGCGACGCCCGCACCTTCCGCAACACCCAGGTCACCGGCGGGGCGTTCTACCCGGGCGTGGCCTCGATGCAGGTGTACCACAGCCAGACGCTCACGACGGTCGCGGGCCGGCACTCGGCGGCGCGCGCCCAGTTCCGCTTCTCGAGCACGTACGATCGCGACGGCACGGCGTGGAACACGGGTGCCATGGCCAACTACAACTCGCGCACGAGCGCGATTACCTGCAGGCACCCGGCCACCGAGCGCTGGTATATCGGGCAGGATAACGCGGCGGGCATCCGGGGGTTGTCGGCGTGGTCGCAGGCGTATGCGCGGGAGCTGAATGCGTTTGTGAGTTGGTTCTTTTCCCTGTCTGTCTGTCTGTCTGCTTACGGTGGGTTTTAGGGCGTCTTCCTGTTTAACCAGGGCCTCTTCTCCTATGAGAATTTGGGATACATCTGGCCTGCGATTGGCGGGTACAATGCTACCAACCGGGCTGTGAATGTATACGTCAATGGCGCTACGGGGTACGCGCCGCAGATGGGCGCGTTCACGACGAATTGGAATTATCAGGGGGATACGGTGTATATCGATGGGGCGACGTCGGAGTGGACGACGGATCCGCCGGGTTCGTCGACTAGCACGACGACAGCACGGCCTACATAGCACTGTTGGTAGTAGCAGTGTGGGTTCTCGTGAATAGCTGGATGGTGATGGGGTACGGTCATTTACATCCAAGTGCTAAGTGAGAGTGGGTGTATGGTGTTCGAGGATGTACCCTAGTAGACAGTCACGTGCCTAAGAATATATATATTGAGCCATCGCCTCTTCCCAACCCTAACCTTTAACCACCTCACCTACCTAGGTACACTACCATAGGTACCCTAAACCAAGGCCACTATGCCCCCCTACGCAGCCTTCCACACCCCACACCCAGACTTCACACGCCCGGGGACAGCCACAGCTCCAGCCTTCTACGACACCGACGGCTCCCCCGTCTACGAAGCCCCCTACAACGCCCTCCTGCACACAATCCTGGCAACCAACGACGTCGCCGCTCTTCGCCAATACAGCTTGACCACGCCCGTCTTGTACAAACACTACGAGATCGAGACAGATCACCCTTTCCACATTGCAGCCGAGAACCGCAGTTTCGAGGTGGTCAAGGCGCTGGTTGACATCTACCGTGCACGCGGGGCCGTCACGAGGTCGAGTGATTTTCCGGGCGAGACAGAGCCAGAGAAAGAGACACTGAATGCGTATCTTGAGCGTCATCATGTGTCGCTTCTCGAGGCCGGGTGCCGGGCTGCGGATCGGGAGTTTGTCGCTTGGTTGGTGGGGCAGGAGCCGCCCTTGGGGAGTTTCAGGGGAAGCCCGAGGCCGGACGGTGACGGTGACTACTGTCCGCCGCTGTGGACTGCTGTGGCGGCGTTGAGGGCGCCTTGGATGCCGAGGGAGGTTGAGAGGGATGCGTTAGAGATGGCAGAGGACAGCGCGCGGCGTGAGGCCTTTGTCTACTGGTTGCTGGAGCAGGGGTGCTCGGTGACGGGGTCGGACGTGCTCTGGCCACGTTCGAGGGTCGAGGGCAGGCCGCCGGCGGAGGGGGAGGAGGAGATGCAACTGTACAGCAGTGTTCTTGGGGCCGCGGTGCCAGGGGCTAGCGGCGAGATGGTGGCGAGACTCATCGCGGAGGGGGCCGACCCGCACGCCCGCCAGATGTTTCATGACAGTTGGACGATTCTGGATGCCGAAAATGTAGCACCGCTGCATATCGCCAGTTTGTTCTGGAATCGGGACGCTGTGCGCGCTCTGCTGGAGCACAGCGGGGACATTGGGCCGGCGGAGATGGTCGCTGTCGCGGATGGTCAGGGACGCCTCCCGCTGCACTGGGCTGTGATGGGTCTGAAGAGTCCGCCATGGGGCGCCCAGCAAGGCGGGCCAGTAGCTAAGGAGATGATGCTGGACACGGTGACTGTTCTCCTCGCGGCGAATCCGGCCACGGCGAATGCGGTCAACCACGAGGGAAACACCCCGCTGCACGAGGTCGTGAAGGGTGAGATTCGGCAGGATTGCACCGAAGGCTTCGAGCCTGACTCGAATCACACCGACCGGGTGCGAGATGCCCGGGCAGTTATCGGGGTCTTGATGGATGCGTGGGCTGAGGTGGAGAGAGCAAATGCCGCTGGAAAGACTGCAGAGCAAATCCGGCAAGAGGGGATCGTCGCCCGCGAGAGCTGGAGGCGTATGCAAGCCGTTCAAAATACAGGCCGAGGTCGAGGCCGAGGTCGAGGTCGTGGTCGTGGTCGTGGCCGGCCATAGTGCAGGTCTTGTGCACAGTCGGGGAAGATGGGTTTACTCCTTTATTCACTCGGCTGCCAGTGTATGCTAATAGTGCCATGTAACTATCACGGCGAAATGCTTACCGGTACGTCATCGGGGGTTTCATCTTCTAGCCACAGCACTTCATCATGAGCCCTAAGCTAATAAGATACGTAACTCACTGGTACCGAGCCGGCGGCGGCCAGATCCCATCGATTTCATTCCGAGCGCGTGATTGCGTGGCCGCATGTAACTTGCTTAGCTCCGAGGTATTCCGGTAGGGCTTCCGTCTTGCCTCGCCCTCCAGATCGCGCTGGACCAGCCGTGCAAATAACGTCGGCGCGATGTGCTTGATGTCAACTTTTAGGGGCCGTAGAGCCTCAGCCGGAGGTGGGGGTTGAGATTGAGCTTCTGTCCCAGCCCCATTCTCGGACTGAGGGTCAGGCTGAGGTTCAGGCTCAGCTAACCAGAGATACGGCCTCGCCGTTTCCCGCGACCGGTACGCCTCATCATCGACATAGAGGAAGGCGTCGCGTCGAAACCCACTGGGGATCTCGCTGTTCGAGAGCATCGTGCTGAATCGGCTCCGCAGTGCACTCGGGTCTAGTTCCTCATTCCCAATACCTGGAACAGCCACCCAGTGCAGGGCAAACCGCCCCCTCGTCTCATCCTTGATTATGTCAATTGAAAAATGTAAGCCATGGTGAATGGCCGTTTCGATCTGGGATTTGTATTCCGGAAGACGACCTCTTCCTCCTCCTCCTTCGCCTTGCCCTTCTCCTTCCTGGTAGAATACCACGAGACCAAAACGCCCCCTCTCTCTATCAAGTCCCTGCCCCTGCCCAGAATCCCCAGCGGACGTCGAACCGGGTTGCAGTTGCAGCACGTGCTCCTGCCAGGGCACGTTGATGGCGAATTTGAGATTTCTGATGTCGTCATTGCTCAGCGTGTCCATGGCCGCCAGCCACGCGTCCGTCAATCGCTGATTCACCCTCTGCGCCGCCTCCCTTGCAACCCTCAAGTCGTCCGTCGTCGCCGCATCCATGGCTCGGCTCATGAGGTCTCGATCTTCCAGACTGAGACGAACCCTCTCGGACAGGATGCGGCCGCTTTCTCCCTTAACGACGCCGGACAAGAGGAGACGGGATTCTTGATTGCTCAGGGCGGGGCCATTGGTGTTTTTATCATTGCTGTTAATGGCTTTGGCGATGAGCTCGTCCATGGTTAGTCCGCATTCTTTCTGGCACAGGGTGTTTTCCTCTTCGGCTGGGGGGCGGCGTGTGATGAGGCGGCGTTCTTGGTCTGTTAGGGAGGAGGGGTTGGAGATGGCGCGGTTGTAGAGGGTACGAGTTGCGTCGCCGAGGGGCCGAGGGGTTCTGTCGATGCTTAGGGTGAAGGCACCGTCGAACATGGGGATGTGTATCATGTTGGCGGATTGGATGGATGTTTGGAAAGGAGAGAGACGCTTGGCGGGTGTAGAAATCAATTTATGGCAGTACCTGGGTAGTTCCATGGTTCTTTGGTTGATGGCACGTGACAGACTAGGCACCTACTAGGCACCGGCAATTATACACTAAAAAACCTTAAAATAATGCTTATAGAGCCAATTCATTATAATATTGGCTAGGTGGCAGCCTGCTAGGGTATCCGGATAACGTCAGGCCTGTCTGCCTGCTATCCCGACTTCCAAGGTCGTAAATAGAAGGAACCAACTCCACGGGATATGGGCAGCTTAGATGAATCCCCGTGGCCTGCATCGACTACAGTCTGCGCTAGGTTACATACCCATATTGATACTAGGTAGGAGTAGGAGAAAACACACGTCAAAACACCTCTATACCCAACACTGGGCGGGTAACAATCGATGCAACAGGGTTGCATGACAGTCGACACTTAAGTTCAAACAAGCACATACGACCACAGGGTGTGGAGAACAGGGCTTCCCGTCCGCTCAGCCGTACTTAAGCCACACGCCGGCTGGTTAGTAGTATGGTGGGTGACCACATGCGAATCCCAGCTGTTGTATGTTTTTTGTTTTTGGTCTTTCTGCAGTTGGAGGGTGATTTCATGGTGTTTTTGTTGAGGGGGCTGCTTGTTCAGGTGGACCCACATTCGATACTTTAAGTACGGCTGGGCGGACGGGAAGCCCTGTTCTCCACACCCCCGGGCCTGTGGTCGTATGTGATAGATGTAGTCAAGCTAATAGCTCATATGGAAAGACTTGCTAACAGATTACTTGTCTACTACTTCTTAACATGCCTACCTAGCTTCCTGGCTTGATATGTAGACGGGACGGTGGACGGATAGCTTCTCTTGTCATTGGCTCATACTCTCGCAGTCCACGGTGCCGTCATCATTGATGGATGTATTCGCCTAGAAGACTAGCATAGGGTAGTCCTTGTTCGCAACAATGACATCTCTCCATGCTAAGCCTCGTCGTTACCGTCGATCGAGCCTCGTAGTATATTCGGCAGCTGGTGATGTTGGCTATGCACCGGGATACCGGTATGTGGAGGCGGACGAGCATTCTGGCTGGGGGGCTTTCCTTCTCACCCTACCCTACCGTAGGTACCATCCATAGGTATAGGTACAAACCGGTCAACTGTTAGGTAGCCGGCACACCCAGAAGTTCCTCCCTACACTTGTCCACGGTTGTACTGATTCCCCGATGACGCCCTAAGGTCTGCCTGGCCTTTACAGGCTCGTGACTGGAATTTCAGTGTGTTGTTCGTTGATTGGCTGTTTTGGGTCTAAGTTTAAAGGCAGCCAGTTATCAAATTAGGGTTATGTCCAGCACGTGAATGGCACCAACCATCACCTATCTAATACCTATCCAATTCCAATAAACACCAACCATCTCCATCCATACCGATTTAACTACCCCTCTCCGCCTCCTCCCGCAGCCCAAACTCCGTCACCAACTCCTCCCTCAACCCCACCTCCTTAACCGGCAGCGCCAACAGAAACCCCGCCGCCCCAAACGGCACCGCCATCCACCACACCCACTTCAGCCCATCCTCATACACCCTCAGCACCTCCGCCTGCAACACGGGCCGACCAGAAAGACTCTTGACCAACCCCTCACTCGCCACCGCATACGCGCCCCCATCAGCCAGCATCTCCCTAATCGCCGCATCACTCACAATCCCCAACACCCTCTGCACACGCGTATTAAATATCGAGGTCGGAATCGCAATCCCCCAGATACAGCCTAGACTGCGCAGGAACGCCCACGTTGCCGTTGCCGTCGCGACGTCGGATTCCGGCAGGACGGCTTGAATGGGCGGGAGGGTCGAGGAGAAGATCATGCCGGACCCGACGCCGAAGAGGACCTGGAAGCCGGCCCAGTCGCGGGCCGGCGAGCGGTCGTCTAGCAGCGAGAAGAGGCCCACGCCGGCGGTCATGCAGATCGCGCCGAGGAAGTGGAAGGGGCGGTATTTTCCTGTCTTTGCGAGGAGGATCCCCGTGATGACGCCGAAGGGCGCGATCGCGCCTGTGATGGGGAGGACGGCGAAGCCGGAGTTCGTTGCGGACAGGCTTTTCAGCGCTTGGAAGTAGACTGGCAGGAAGTAGCCGACCCAGTAGAGGAGGAGGCTTTGGAAGAAGGAGATCCATAGGGCGCAGAGGGCTGTTGCGCTGGTGAAGACTTGGAGTGGGATGGAGGGTTCCGGGCAGAAGCGCGAGGATTGGTGGATTGGGAACGCGATGAGTCCGGCTATGCCGAGGAGGAGCGGGAGCAGCACGCGCCATGAAGACCAGGGGTATGCGGTTCCGGCCCAGGTGAGGGCTAGGAGGATGGCGATGACGGCGAGGGTGAGGAGGGTGTTTCCTGCTATGTCGACGCGGAGGAATTGGTTCCAGATTGTGGCGTTGGGTGGACGGGGGTGCATGACGCGCAGGAAGAGCACGAGGAGGACGAGCGACACGCCGCAGAGCGGGAGGTTGATGTAGAAGACCCAGCGCCAGGAGATATGCTGGGCAAAGGCGCCGCCGAGGACAGGGCCGACGGTTGTGCCGACGGCCCAGACGGAGGCCATCAGGGCGACGTATTTGCCGCGCTGGCGGAGGGGCACGAGGTCGCAGATGACGGTGTCGACGAGGATGTTTATGCCGCCGCCTCCGATGCCCTGGACTGCGCGGCCGGCGATGATGGCGCTGGTGTTTGTTGCGGCGCCGGCCATTGCGCTCCCGATTGCGAAGACGACGACGGAGCTGATGAGCATCCAGCGGCGGCCGAAGATGTTGGCCATTTGGCCGAAGAGGGGGAGGACGACGGTGGAGGTGAGGATGTAGGAGTTTGTGATCCACATGTAGAGCTCGCCGGAGTGGAGGTCGGAGGCGATGGTTGGGAGGGCTGTGGAGAGGATGGAGGTGTCGAGGGCTGCGAGGAAGGTCGTCGTGCAGAGCGCTGGGAAGACGGCCCAGAAGCGCCAGGTCTTTTTGGGGGTGGAGGTTGATGTAGGAGAGGGCTGCGTTGGTGATGGTGATGGGGCATTCTGCGAGCTGGTTTCATTCTCGTTTTCTTGTGAGTCGTTCTCTTTGGCTTTCTTTTCTTCTTCGCTTTCGTTTGGTGTTGGTAGGGCTGTGGCTTTGGTTACCTGGATGGTTGAGGTTTCCGCCATGGTACTGACAGGGGTGGTGAATGAGTGAAAAAGGAGGAGGTTTGACAATGAGATGGACGAAAGAACAAAGAAAGCTCAGGTGAGAGCCCGAGGGATGCCTACGGTAGCTAACCTCTTGGAGACTAGCACTGCCACCGTGGACATGCGTAGAAGGAAGAGCATCCCTGCAGCCCAAGCCTGGGCGTTTCTCAGCCCCTAAACCCGAGCCCGGGAATGCATGACCGATGTATGTATGGATGTATGCAAAGATGCAAAGATGCAAAGATGCAAAGATAGGTGGCCGTTACGGTACGCATAGTACCCCAACCTGTAACATTCATTTTACCGAGCAATCTACCTGTCGAGTCTACCCTGTCTATGTTTGACCTGCCGACAAGTCCTCCACCTTGGTGCAGATCCAGCAAGAGGCATACATATTAACCCGGTCAATACATGCACCCTCAATTCGAGCACTAACACGTTCAGCCGTAAAGCCGCGCGTCGTAAATGCCGCAATATACCAGGGCTGGAGAGCTGCAGATCGCAGCAATACGCGGCCCCCCATCTTCATCGCACGGTTAAGCCGGATAATCTGCTCGGGGCCAGACTCGCCCTCTTGGTCAAACCAGTCCATACTGTCCATGAGAACAGCAACCGTTAGAGTATCTGGGCTAAAGCGGCTAAGTACCTTGGTAACCTCATCGGTATGGATGTGAAGATTGTCTAAGGCGCCGGACTGGGAGAGCATGGCATGCGCTTCTGAGGATAAGTACTCGGGGTGGCAGGTCCGGCTATATTTGCCAGCCAAACAGACATAGTAGTAAGGGTTGTCGCTGCCTATGTGTGTCTGCTGGGCCACCGGGTCGACAGTATCGACCATGTAGTGCCAGATGGCTCGGGAACGGATGTTGCAGCTGGCACCTGCAGCGGCTTTGTAGTCGCTCTCGATCATTGCAAGTTGATTTTTAGGGACGCCCAAGGCTTTCCATAGAAACTTTTTCTGGCTGACGACCAGTTTGCAGAGCAGGGGTGATAGCAGAGCAGGGCGGATCAGGGTTTGCCAAATGTTGACCTGCTCAGAAAGGCTGTCGGCGGCGAGTAGCTGGCATACAGCAGTTCGACGGCCCAAAATACTAGAGACCCAGCGAATGACGCGGAGGGCGTGGCGAGATCCGCCGGTGTCATACAAACCTGAACTCCCGGGCCTATCGAATACATAGGCGTGGTCGAGCCAGTACTGGAACGCACGGCTGGAAAGATGGGGCGAGATGTGGTTGAGAAGCAGATGATGAAAGTCAGGGTGTCTTCCCTCGCCGAAGAGCATCCAAAAGTCTTCATAGGGCAATGCGCTATAGCAAGCCATCTTGAGCTCAAGGAGGTGATTCTGGGCCGGATTAAGGTCGACGGCATGGATTCTCGCGGGGCTTTTTGTGGCATATGAAAGAATATTGTCGCCAGCGCTTGTCATTGCAAGCACTACATCGTCCGCGCTCAGGTTGAGTAGACTATGGTCTTGGCGCGAGTCTTCCCAGGTAAAGGCGTAGATATACTCGTCTTTAAACTGAGTGTGCTTTGGGAGCTGGTCGTCATAATAAGCGCGCCACGAATGATTCTGGTAGAAAGAAGACGGCAGGGGAATATTCGCTGCTTGGTTCTGGATTGCCAGTTCCTCAGAACAGAGCATCTGGTCTGTATTTTGCGGACTGATCTCTGCGTTTTTAGGACGCCCAAGCCAGATGTAGTACGGTATCCAACCGAGAGTGCGGTTGCGAGCGTTTACTGTGAGGAGGGTGCCGAATCTAAACTCCATATAGTCCCGACGACCAGCGTCAAGCCATATGTGGTCTAGATGGAACCAGGCACGCCAAAAGCTCCGCAAAAGCCAGTTAACGTGTCGTCCAGTGTGGCTTCCAATGTAGTTTCGCCCTCCAAAATCCAGACGAGACTGAGCATAAAAGTCAACAACGCCAATCACCCCGTCGGCGGCGAGAAGCGAGGTGAGCGAGTCGATGACCGGATAGTAATCAGGCTGGGATTCAGAATTAGCAATTGAAGCACGCTGATCGAGACACCAGTGGTTTCTTACAAGCATGGATAGGCTATACGACATGGTGATAAGATTAGCCTTTCGCGGTGGGCAAAATGTCCTTGCATCCTCGCAAACCACCTGGACGTTCTTCCAGCCGAGACGGCGGAACCGCTGTCGCGCAACCTCGCAGAGAGATGGAGATAGATCAACCAGATAAATAGTTGAGAAGAACTCTGGCACATTGACAAAGGAATACATAGCCTCGATGCACCATCCTGTCCCTCCACCAACCTAACACAGTTAATTTCGGAGAAGGTGTGGTTTGCAATGGCTGTTACTTACATCAACCCAGATGCGCTCGCTCTTGGGCTTTGCCTTCAGCTGGGCGGCGACTAATGCAAGCATCTCAGTTCTCCCTTGAAGCAAGCGGCTCCGCGTGGTGTCATAGACAGATGCCTGCTTCTTGTAGAAGCTTTCAAGGAACGTCTGCTGGCTACCACGATCCCCGCCATTATGGGACTTGATGAAGCAGCAGTAGCAGAAGATAAAGAAGGCATGGAGACGGCCCGGGCCTTCAATGCTTTGCGAACGCTGTCGAGCAAGGAGCCGCGAGAGAAGTAGACCGCACAGCGCAACTGCGCTGAATCCGGTGAGCGTCAATGGGAAGCCAAAATTAAGAAGCAGACCGTCGTCTCCAGAGAACGCCATCTTGTCCACGTATCTTTGAAGGATAAGTCGGGAGTCGGGAAGGCGTAGGGCACCATAACCAGGTACTATATATGTATCCTTCCATCAATGCCCATTGATGCTGGCAATCATCAGATAGCCTCGAGCTGGACCCCACTAGGCGCATACTTCCCCTCATTGTGTAGATGATGATATTCCAGCCGCGATGGAAATTTTCAGAACCGATTTCACGACATGGGTCGCCTTATCGTCCCTTGTTTGCCCCTTGGTAGTCTCCAAAATAGCTAGAGGAAGCGAACTTCCCAACAGCAATTGCCGAGAGCGACCTGCCCCCGGTGGCCTGACAGTCCAGGTCGTCTTGGTGTTGCGAAGGCGATGCAGGCAGACAGGGATGTTCTGGCCGTGTATGGCTCGCTCGTCTGGAAAAGAGCACTAGCTTGGGCCGAGCTGTGGGCCGAGCTCTGGAGATTAAGGTAGACGTCCGAAGTAAGCCACCCGCAGCCATTTAGAGTAAACCCCAAGCAATGCATTCGTCTGTCATGCTTTCGTCAGACATCAGCGCTAGGCCTTAATGTTTCGGAATATTCTAAGGCAGACCCACCATGAACGGTGCCGAATTGGGGGCTGAGCATCTCGCCATGGCCATTGGCTGTCCTGATAGAGCTGACGGAGAGGGGAAGCTGCAAGGTTCTTGGCCCGGGTGGTGTGAGGCGTATGTTTGAATCCTTCCAACGGGTGATGTTCATCGAGAGCTCGCAAGCTCGGTCCATTGGAGGAGAGACTGGCCCGGGGGGGAGTGTTAGTCAGCCCAAAGCGGCAGGAGCGGGTCCTCGCGTGCGATTCCCCTCACTCCTCCTCCTCCTCCACTCCTCCACGTCCCTACGATCATCAAGTTTCATCCAAACGCGGCTGATTTATCAGTTCTCTTCCTTATCTGACCCTCAACCGGGATATGCAATCATCTATCCGGCAGGGATCTAGCTGCACGTGGACCGTTGTGTCGCAGCCGTACTTTCTGAGCCGCAATCACTGACTCCAAGACTCTTAGGCTATTCGGGAATTCGCTTGCTGCGGCGTCTGTCACTCGAGAACCCCCGTCCCTCGCTTCGCTAGCCCATACACCCGTGGCAGCCTCAATTTTTGGATGTTAGCGTTCGCGAGACTGTCCATCCCTGCTGTCAGAAAGCGCTGTTTTCGTCCGCGTCGATCGTCCTTTACGCGCCGAATCAGGCACCGCGCGCCGAGACAGGCAGCAACGAGAACCAGAATTTACGGTTAGTGTCTGTCTTGACTTTGATTTCTGAATCGAAGGGCTCTGCGTAGCGGATAACTAATGGCGGCAAGATGTAGTCACCCCTGTTCGGACGGCCGGATGGGTTTACGGTACCGAGAACTACAAACACTCCATAGTCGTATCCGCTCTTATCTTGACCATGTATCAGCTCATTGATCAAAGATGGTTCGGCGATGGCTAGGTTCGGCGGTGGCTATGGTTCGGCGATAGCTATGGCTATGCTATGGTTCCATTGTTCTATACTCGTAATCGCCCCCTGCCTCCCCGCATTCCCACCAATGCCGTCTCTTGCCCTGACGAGAGGAATAGCAGGGGTCATCAGCTATCTCTGTCAGCATGGGTTTATTCTCGCGCCTAAACCAGGCTAAACTCTTGGGAGCTGAGTCTCGGTGCGGCCAATGAATTCGTGGCTTTCAGCCAACGTTGGTCGCTTCCCGGGAATCCTAGATATGGCCAATCCGACATTGACTGGGAATCAAAAGTCCTCTTCAGGCCTGACACTAACAATATACTCTAGCCGTGAGGTCATGGCCCCCAGCTTCTCCATGGAGGCAACGGACTTATCGGGCTCGGCCCAGCTGTTTTGAAAAAAACAGCATTCCAGCGGATCTAGACGAGGGCAGAGAGCTGAGACCTTGGTGAGCACTAAGATGGCTGAGTACTTGCTTCGATTCCTTCGAGGGGACAGCTCTCCATGTGAGCTCGGGCAAGTAGTCGCTTCAAATCCCCCGCTGCACCTGGTCCAATTTCTGTCAGGTATATAAACGTGTATACTCTCGACCAGAAACTACCCTCACACACTGCAGACACTCATTCATTGAAGGTAGTCTGCAGGTTTTTCTTTGCTCCCGTCTCACACCATATCTTGATTCACAATGAGCGATCTTCATGATGAGGGCATTGCCATCGTGGGCATGGGCAAGTCACCCCCCCCCTTAGTCCTTGCCCTCCCAATCAATCCAGAATCCGGAGCTAACAATTATGATCTTTACCAGCGTGTCGCCTTCCCGGAGATGTGCAAGATCCTCAGTCCTTCTGGGACTTACTGGTCAGCCAGAAGCTCACTCGCGGCCCCTTCCCTGAAAGCCGATTCAATCCTACAGCGTTCTACAACCCCCAGAAAGGGCGGCCGGGAAACATCCGATATACTGAAGGCTACTGCGTTTCCAACGACCTTGAAGACTTTGACGCCGGTTTCTTCAATGTCAATCCAACGGATGCCCTATACCTTGATCCCCAGCAACGCCAGTTGCTCGAGTGCTGCTTTGAATGTATGGAGTCGGGAGGCATCACCCTTGAGAACGTTTCTGGTACTGAGACGGGGGTCTACGTTGGCAGCTTTGCCAGCGACTATGAGACGCTTGCCTTCAAAGAGCCGGAACGCATTGAAGGAATGGCCGTACTTGGAATGGGTCGGACGACTATCAGCAACCGCGTGAGCTACATGTATAACCTTCACGGGCCAAGGTTCGTCGCGAAAGCTCCCCAGTAGATTCGCTGTTTGGATCAGCTAACCATGGTCGTTCTAGTGTGACGATGGATACGGCGTGTTCTTCGACACTGTACGCTTTGCACTTTGCAGTGCAAGCCCTGCGCAACGGTCAGATCCCGGCGGCGTTTGTTGGAGGCGTTAACCTGATCCTCACGCTTGAATACCATTTTGCCATTGGACAGATTGGGGCTCTTTCCCCAACCGCGCAGTGTCATGCCTTCGATGCTTCTGCTGATGGCTACTCGCGTGGCGAAGCTATCAATGTTCTTTACCTCAAGCGCGTATCTGACGCGATTCGAGACGGTGATCCGATTCGCGGTGTGATCCGTGGGTCATCCTTGACTGCGTAAGCTTTATCACACATATAATTCTGCTTGAATCTTCTTTGACCCATATACAGGAACGGCAAGAACAATGGTATCACACTTCCAAGTGCGCTTGCTCAGGAACTGGCAATCCGAAACGCCTACGAGCACTCCGGGCCACTGGACTATAACGCGGTTGGCTATCTCGAATGCCATGGCACTGGAACCCCTGCGGGAGACCCAATCGAAACCACAGCAATTGCGAACGTGTTTGGTACTCACCGAGAGTGGCATGAGCCGTTGTATATTGGGTCTACCAAACCGCAGGTTGGTCATGGTGAGGCTTGCTCGGCCATCACGAGTATCATGAAGGTTGCTCTGGCAATTGAGAACGGGGTCATCCCGGGTACGATTGGAGTCAAGAAGCTCAATCCTGCACGTTAGTACCTCCAATATTCTGATTCACATGAGGATAGCTTTGCTGACAGACTTGGGACACTACAGTGGACCTCAGAGGGGGCGCGCTGGCCGTACTTACTCAGAATACCCCATGGCCAGAAGGCAAGGCGAAACGTGCATCTATCAACTCGTCCGGGTATGGCGGAGCCAACGGACACGTCGTGATTGACGGAGTCGATGAGTATTTCCAAAGCATTGGCATGCCAAACCCTTTTAGTGAGCGTTCCACTGTGGACCCGTATGACACAATCATCCAGAAACGGTTTTTGTTGCCTGTCACGGGCCACGACGAGTATTCCATGCAGGAAGGCTTGAGTAACTTGGTGAAGGTGGTGGAGAGTCAGGCCTATGACTTCCACGAGTTACTACACACTATGATTGCGCGACGCACACGCTTCCACCACCGAGGCGTCATTCCCGTGGAGATGACGAGCTCAAGAAGTCTGACGTTGAAAGAGCCCATCACCGGTCGTACTAACAACAGCGTTCCGGTCATTGCGTTTGCTTTCACTGGTCAGGGTGCCCAATGGGCTGAGATGGGCCGCCAGCTGCTGGACTGCTACCCGTCAGTGCAGCAGACGTTCAAGCGACTGAACTTGGCCTTGTCCCAACTCAAGGAGCGGCCAGAATGGACGCTCGAAGGTACGTCATTATCCTGGAATTTAGTTTTATCTGAATGAGTTCTAATCGCTGTGCTAGAAATCCTGCTCGAACCCGCTGAGACAAGCAGAATCAGCAAGGTTTCCTTCTCGCAACCAATCTGCACAGCAATTCAGATTGCCCTTGTTGATTTACTTCGAGAATGGGGTGTCAAGCCTCAAGCCACCGTCGGCCATTCGTCTGGCGAGTTAGCTGCAGCCTACGCAGCCCAACTCATAACAGCCGAAGAAGCCATCATCGCAGCCTACCTGAGAGGCGTTCACGCTACGCTGACCCAGGCACCCGGGTCAATGATGGCCGTCGCAATGGGCGCGCATGAAGCTGAGAAGTTCCTCGCGGACAATGAGATTTCGACCGCCGATGTTGTTGTTGCCTGCGTGAACTCACCTCAGAGCGTCACCTTGAGTGGCAAAATTGAGCCCATTGACAAGCTGCATCGAGTTCTCAAGGAACAGGCAATTCTGTGCAAGAAGCTTCCGACGGGGGGGAAGGCGTACCATTCCCCAAGTATGAAGGAGGTCGGTTCTGGTTACAGTGAAGCTATCTTGGAGGCGACCAGTCGTCCGAACGACGGTGGAGCCGTGCGCCCAATTGCTCCAGCTCTTGAAGGTACAGAGAGACCTGTCATGGTCTCTTCAGTGACACTGGCACATCTCCAGCCAGGAGATATCGACGGAACGTACTGGCAAACCAACTTGGAGAACCCAGTTTTATTTGATCCTGCCATGAAAGAGCTACTGAGTCTCAAATTTGGACCGGAGGACCGACATGTTGACTGCGTGATTGAGATCGGAGTAAGCTTTTCCCACATTTCCCAATGATGGTTGGTTCCAATGCTAATTTTGTAACCATGCAGCCGCATAGCGCTCTTCAGGGTCCGATCAAGCAGATCATTGCGTCGCCAGAAGTTCAAGACATTTGGAATGCGTCGTTGGGAACCGCGGCCAAGGTGACTTACGAGCAGACACTCGAACGCGGTCATGACGCCGAAGAGGACATGCTACGGCTGGCAACCAGCCTCTTCATCAAGGGATACCCGGTGAACATGCTTCATGTCAACGGCCATCTGGCTTACCGTCCATCGAAGGTCCTTATTGACCTTCCTAAATATCCATGGAACCACCAAACCAAGCATCCCTTGGTCGTGAACCGGGCCACAAAAGACTACAAGTTCGCCACTCATCCCCGTCATGATCTCATCGGAAGTCGCCTACCAGGAGGAAATCGTATGGAGCCCATCTGGAGGAACTACCTTCGCTTAGATGATGTGCCGTGGATCAAGGATCATGTGGTATGTCTCCCTCCGCACAGATGTTTAAAGAACGCTGGCTGAATAATGTGTGCATAGATTGGCAGCGCTATCATCGTCCCTGGTGCGGCGTATTTGGCTATGGCTGTTGAGGCCGCCGCCCAATTCGCCGAAGACACTACACTGGGCGGCCCGCCGTTCGACTTCGAGGATGCCAAGTTCCATCTTCAAACCGTTACCATCAAGGCAGCTCTCGTTCTGCCAGCGAGCGGCACTGCCGACATCATGATCAATCTGCGGCCTACCGAAGCCTCCGCTGCCTCCAACCGGCTAGAGTTCAAGATCTGCTCTGTTGCAGACGACCGGTGGATTGAGCATGCAGAGGGCATCGTTTCCTTCGAGCTTACGCACGGATCCAGAACTCAAAAGACACCTTTCAACGGGGAGACCGAAGAGCCGATGTTCGAGCAGACTTTCAACAAGGATGCCTGGTACGAGCGACTGAAGTACCGCGGCTTCGACTTTGGTCCCCGGTTCCGAGTGATCGACGAGATCCAGGTTCTGCCACATGCGTCGCGTGCCCGTGCCCAGACTCACATTCTCAAGACCATGGATCCGAGATCCACAGATACCAGCGAGTCCCGATACGCGATTCATCCGCTAACGATCGATGCGGTCTTGCAGGGGCGAGTCGCCTCTGTCTACACTAGCCGTGCAGACCGAGAGGAGGCCACGCAGATCCCTGTCTTCATTGAGGAGATGACAATCAGCCCGGCATCATGGGCCAAGGACCAAACCGGCTTCATTGATAGCGTGGCCTGGACAGAAGGCGCCCGCAGTGGAGGCTCTCACTCCGCGTTGACAACGGAGAGCGGGTTCGAGATCATCTCCGCCAAGAACGTGAAGTGGCGCCAGTTTGAGAACCAGGGCAGCCAGGAGAAGATGAACCAGGATGCGACAGGGCGCGAGCCATACTACCGCATGCACTGGAAGCCCGACATTGATTTCCTCGATACCGCTGGGGCGCACAGGCTGTACCATAGTGATTTCAAATCACCTTCCGGTGCCGCGTATCTGGATGAGGTACATTACATCCGTACGCGACTGGAGACGGTGACGGTCCTCTACGTCTGTGGAGTACTAGATATGGTGCGCAGAGAGGATCTCTCCACAGACCCAGATTTGAAGTGGACTCACGGATACTACAACTGGTTATGTCACGTCAAGACCGAAGCGGCCGCGGGACGCATGGTTCTGTGTGAGCCGAACGCCACCACTCTAAACCCCCAAGAGCGAGAGCAGCGGATCAGGGAACTGTTGGCAGAGCTGCCGGATGACTTTCCCCAGCTCGAATTCAACGCCCTTGTCTACAACAACATGGTTGATATTTTCAACGGCACCAAGGCCAGTATTGATCTAGCAGTGAAGGCTGAGATTCTGGCCCGCGTGTACGCAGATGGATCCATCCACGATGCAGCCCGCAAGAACCTGGCCTCGGTGGTAGATATCATGGCGCACAAGAACCCTACAATGCGAGTGCTGGAGGTTGGAGCTGGCACAGGGAGCTGTACCAGTGTTGCACTCGAAGTGTTGAATGCGTATGACCGCGACATGCCAGGCAATTACCACCATGCGAAGCGCTACCGCGATTATACCTTCACCGACATCTCGCCGGCTTTCTTTGAGAAGGCTGAGGAGCTTTTTAGCGCTTACCCACCCATGATCTACCAGACGTTTGACGTGTCGGTTGACCCCGCATCCCAAGGCTTCGAACTTGGCGCCTACGACCTCATCCTTGCGTCCAATGTTATGCATGCCCCTGGTAATACCGATCAGCTGTTGCGCAACTGCAGGCGGTTGCTCAAGCCAGGCGGCAAGTTGGTCATGTTGGAGATCACCAAGACAGAAAGTCTCTCGCCGGTGCAGTTCGCTTTTGGCACGTTGCCGAGTTTCTGGGAGTGTCTTGATGACGTGGCTGCAGAGCGCCCCTTGGGACCATTCCGCAGCCTCCCGTCATGGGAGCAGCAGCTGGAAGCATCTGGTTTCAAGGGCCTGGATATGGTCCTGACTGACTTTCCGATGCCATTGGAATTGGAGAGTGTGATGGTGGCAAGCACCATTGCCGATCCGCCCAAGCAGAAATTGGAGCGTCTTGTGATTGTAAGTATTGTCTTTATTAACCTGTTCCCTGGTTGTTTTTAACGCCGATAATCTTTTAGGTGCATTCCCCCAGCCAAGACGACCTGGCCCAAGCCGTCGAGCAGGAATTCCTTCTCCAAGGCAAACTTACGGCTGAAGATATCAGCCACTACGCTCTTGAGTCGGTTCCTGCGGCTGATGAACCCGTCGGTCAGAACAGCAACGCTACTTACCTAGTGCTCGAAGAGGTGCAGACGCCCGTTCTGGTTGATATGCAGCCGGAGCAATTTGCCGGCCTGAAACGCCTCGTCGCATCTGCCTCCAGTATTCTATGGGTGACCGGTGGAGATCTCCTGGAAGGCCGGTACCCTGCAATGGCTCTGGCCCATGGTCTCAACACAGTCCTCATGAACGAGAATTCGACCCGCAATCTCCGATTTGCTGCGCTCGATGTTGACTACAGGAATACCAGCGATGCCCCTGCTCTTGCCAAAGCGGTCGTGGATGTGACCGGCACAGTCGCTGCCGCTCCAACTCGTGCCGAGTGTGAGACTGATTTCATGTTCAAGGATGGAGTCTTGCATGTCTGCCGAGTTGCTCCTGATATGGACCTGAACCAAGAATTCACCCTCGACACGGGCAGTGAGGGCCGTCTGGATCAGGAATTTCCGACTTCGGGCAACGTCCAGCTTGCGATGGGGACTCCTGGTTTATTGGACACGGTCTATTTCCGGGAAAGGCCGACTTGTGACATGGCTCTGGACCCGGATGAGGTGGAGGTCCACGTGCAAGCAGTCGGTCTGAACATGAAGGTACGTGATAAGACGATTGAAATCGAATTTATTAATCTGAACGCGTGTTCCAGGACTATGTAATCGCCATGGGCAATTTCGAAAGCGTCAAGTCCAGTAACGAAAGCACGGGCTTTGTCGCGCGGGTTGGAAGTAATGTCACGCATCTGCAGCCTGGCGACAAGGTCATTTGTCTCGAACGCGGACACTATGACACTTTCCTGCGGAGCCCGGCCCTGAAGTGCCTGAAGCTCCCCGATGATGCAGACCTAGTGGCAATGGCCACCGTCGGCATTGCGCACGGAACGGCCCTCTACGCCCTGAAGTATCTTGCTCAGCTGGAAGCCGGTGAGACCGTCCTTATCCAGGCGGCCACTGGAGGGCTGGGACTGGCGGCCATTCAATATGCGAAGTATGTGGGCGCCGAAATCTATGCCACGGTAGGAACCCAGCAGAAGAAGGACTACTTGATCAAGCAGTGTGACATCCCGGCGGATCACATATTCTGGTCCCGCTCGTTGCAGTATAAGGATGCTTTACTCCAAAAGACTGGCGGTCGGGGCGTTGATGTTGTTCTCTCGACGATATCTGGCCCTGGCTTTCACGAATCTCTCAAGTGCTTGGCGCCTTGTGGAAGATTTATTGATGTAGGTCGTGGCAATGTGCTGGACAAGGGCTCGATGGGCCTGTACACGTTCGATCGTAGCATCAGCTTCTTCTCCTTTGATCTCAACTTGATTTTGGACGAAAAGCCGCGGATCGCGCAAAGGTAAAGACCCTTCTTTACGCAATCAGGTGACGAGTCTACTATCACGGTGGCTAACATGGTATATGCAGACTCATGTCCGATGCTTTGGGCCTTCTCGAGGAGGGTCATATAACTCCTATCCGACTAGACAAGACCTTCCATATCACGGAGATGGAGAGTGCGCTCCGATACTTCGGCCAAGGACAGCATATCGGGAAAGTGGTACTGACGTACGGGCCCACCAGCAATAAGATCACCCTCAAGGGCGCTCTTCAACCGCGCGGGGTCGATGCCCAAGCCAGCTACCTGCTGGTTGGATGTCACGGAGGACTAGGCCACAGTATGGCCGACTCTCTAGTTGAGCGAGGCGCCAGGAACTTGGTCTTCCTTGGCCGGTCGAGCGAGACCAAGCGGGAGATTGCCTCCTTCTGCAAGCGGACACGGGCCAAGGGAGTGAACGTGGTGACCATCCAAGGAGACGCCTCTAAGATGGAAGATGTCGAACGAGCGGTCGCCCAAGCTATCTCCATGGGACCACTGAGGGGAGTCGTGCATGCGGCGATGGTGTTGCAAGATGCTTTCTTCGACCCCATGACACTGGCCCAGTTTAACACAGCAGTGCGCCCTAAAGTGCATGGTGCCCTGAATCTCCACCGCGCCACGATCCAAGCAAATGCCGACCTCGACTTCTTCTTCATGACCAGCTCAGCGGTGACGTACGTCGGACACATCTCGCAGTCCAACTATGCGGCGGCCAACACCGTGCTGGACAATCTCGTGAGACAGCGTATCCGCCGCGGCCTACCAGCGGTCACAGTCTCTCTAGGCCCGATCAAGGGAGTCGGCACGTTGAACAACAAGCCCGAGTACGCTGAGAACCTCCTGCGTTCTGGTCTGATTGAGGCAGAGGAATCAGAATTTATTCGGCACTTTGAGCGCTTCACGACGCATCCGCAGCCACCGTCGAAGCAGTTCGACCCGCTCACGCAGGGTCACATCCTGACTGGCGTGGAATATGCTAAGCACGATCTTAGCATGGTCCAGGTCACACGTATCGAGCAGGATCGCCGCTCAGCCCTGCTCGTCACAACTCTTGAATCCCGAAAGGCTGCGGCAGGCGGCGCCGGTCATGGAGATGCAGCTGCTGACGGCAGTGGTGATGATCAACTCGTTGCCAACCTCCCTGAAGATCAGGACAAGGCAATTATCGTCCTTGCTGAAGCCATTGGCCGCCGTCTGGCCAAGCTCCTCTTTATTCCGCCGGAGGATGTTGACATTAGTCGGCCATTCTCGCACTTCGGGCTTGACAGTATGTCTGGCAGCGAGCTTATTCATTGGCTAAGCCAGAGATTCGGTCTGGGCATGTCATTCCTGCAGCTGCTCGCGCCGTCTTGCACCCCGAAGAGCCTGGCAGGTACCGTGTTCGACACCCTTGTCAAGAACAAGACTGCGCAGGCAACGGACAGCGCGGGTCATGAGAAGACCAATGGTGCAAATGGTACATCGCACCAACAGGTGAATGGTCATTCTACGACCAACGGTGCCACTCATGATGGCTCCAATGGCGTTACTCAGAACGGCAGCACCAACGGTCATGTAGAAGAGCGAGATGTTGTCAACGGCAGCAACGGCTCAACTACACACCGGAGCGACTCCCTGGTTGGGAAGTTCACTCAAGCAGTCCAGAAGGCCATTGCTGATCCTAAACCTGTTATGCACTCCTATGTGTGTACTGTTGTCGGTCGCCAAGGTATGTACCGCCATTAATACCGCCGGCATGGCCCTCAACGATGCTAATCTACTTTCACAGGTGAGGAGCTCTACAGCCTTGCGGAAGGTGCGATGTCGCCTGGGTCCAGCGATAAGGCAGATCTTGACTCGGTCTACTGCATGGCGTCCCTCTCCAAACTCATGACCACGGTAGGAGTCATGATTTGTGTCGAGCGCGGGCAGATCTCCCTTGATGAAGATGTGGCTGCCATCTTGCCGGATCTGTGTGCGCTCCCAGTTCTCGACGGTGTCGATTCTGATGGGCAATGTCGGACCAAACCCCGCACCAAGCCCATCACGCTCCGCTTGCTGATGAGCCACCAAAGCGGTTGTGGCTATGACGAGAGCCCTGGTTTGCCACGATGGGCGCGACAGAACGGTATCACAGCTCGCACGTTCGACAGCGACTTTGTAAGTACCAGTACTCCACTTTTTATCTACCAAGCTAACCACCCATACAGGAAGCCATGAAGACCTACCCACTCCTCTTCGAGCCAGGCGAGGGCTGGATGTACGGGTCCGGCATGGACTGGGCAGGCGAGCTCATCGCACGCATCAACAACACCACCCTCGAGGACTTCCTCCGCACCAATGTCTGGGGACGCCTCGGCATGACCTCCACAACCTTCCACCCAGAGCACCACCCCGACATCCTGCGCCGAATCGTCCCCACATACGAACGAACAGACGACCAAGGCCTCGCCCCGCGCGAACCCCTCTCCCGCATCCCAGCGCTCCACGACTGCGCCGGCCACGGAATCTGGTCCACCCCGCGCGACTGGACCCGCTTCATAACCATGATCCTCGCCGACGGCGCGCCCCTCCTCAACCCCTCCAGCATAGAGGAGATCTTCCGCCCGCAAACCACCGGCGTCCCCGAGCTGCAAGCTCTCCTCTCTGGCCCGCTCCGCGCATCCCTCCTGTCAACCGCCGCGATGGAAGCCAACAACATTGAGATTGCGCTCGGCGGCCCCGTCTACATGGACTCTATCCCCGGCAAGCGCTCCGCGGGCACGCTGCAGTGGGCTGGCCGGCCGAATCTGTTCTGGTGGATTGATCGGGCCAAGGGCGTTGCTGCGACTACGTTTACGCAGGTTATTTCGCCGGCTGATGGGCGGTTTGCGGCGTTGACGGGGGCGTTGGAGGTTGCTGTTTATGCGGAGCTTGTTTGATGTGATTTGATTAGACTGGCTTGGGTTGGGTTTTCTGCTTTTACTTTTTGAATATATTTGTCATTCTCATTCTCTCTTTTCCTACACAGAGGATTGTCAGATCTACTGGTCCTTTATATTACTTTGTGGTCGAGTGGGTGGCGGCTAGGAACTCGCAGAAACTGCGGAATCAATGGATTGATCTAACAAATCTAACACTATTTGATACTTGAGGATACCTCTGGCATCTCTACTTGGTCTCTGACTTTGGGGGCCCGGTGTGCTGGGCTTGTAGACGTTATGTTTCATAGCCGTAATAAACATCCCCATAGCTGGGAGTGTGACGAGTGTGCCCATACAAAGCAGATGCTGTTCTGTCTTCATAAAATCCACCTACGCTATCAAAGCATGCCCTGCTTTCCTCATAGTACAGAGTCCTTCGGGAACTATTATAACATATATATATCCAAGTTCGATGGTCCACGCCTTTGCTACACTAGGCTGTCTACTCCGTAATTGATTGCTTTTAGTCTGGGGGGGTTCATAGGTGCAGTACCATCATCATCACCACCCTGATGTAGAAATGTATTAGGGGGAAAAAAAATAAAAGTCGATGACATGCCGTTCTACAGTGTTTGACCACATGCAGCATGTATATCATCCAAAAACAAAAGAAACAGGCTCTATCCGCGGATCGAACGCGGGACCTCTCGCATTTGAAGCTTTAGGGTTTAGCCCTAAGCGAGAATCATACCACTAGACCAACAGAGCACGTGATTAGTTGAAGGTATAACTGGTAATTTGTCTTATATAGCTAAAAGAAAAGTGTGGCTGTTGCTGCCAATCAGGTTGTTATAAGGCTGTGTACAAAAATATATATTTGTCAATATGACAATCATCCAAGCCATGGACAGTGCACCTTGGTAGCATAGTGATTATATAAATAGGGCACTAATATACACCTTCATATATGCCTTCTTCCACCCAAGAGGCAACTATCCAATCCTGCACCAGCCAGCCCACGACCGTGGCCCAACTATCAAGAAAGGAGCGACCACCTCCATCGCCCCTGCCCAACCCTATACACGCCTGCTATTTCCACCTCTATCATGGACTCTTAAACCTTCTCCAACCTATATCACTCTTTAACTCTCAGCATCCAATTAGACCAAAATGTCATACATATTCTAAACATTGGTATCGTAGACAATGTCGATTGTCGGTCGCAAGGTTCAGTGAACAAAGGCTACCGAACCCTAAATAAGCTTACTTCAACCAACCAACCTCATCCAAACGACCAAGACCAACATGCCAAAAGTGGGGAAGTCCATGGTACCCAAGCGCCTGGAACTAGAATATAATGGCCGATGATTGGCCCTAATGAGATAGTAGTATCAATATCATCTCAACTAATCCTTGTCCAAGCACCAAGTAATTAGAGAGTGTCTGCCACGTAGGCTTAACAGCAGGCTTAATTTAATTTGGCTTAGCGCGCCCGAGGGCTGTCTTAATTAAAAAGGTGGTTTAAAAAATTAAGCACGTAGCAAGCTTATTAAGCATGCTTGTTACTTAATTTAAATAGGCTTAGCGTGGCGCTAGCGCGGTTAAGTAAGTATTATATTTATTAGGTTTTTATAACATGTTTTAATATTTTAAAAAGGTTACTTTACACTAAAAATTATATATAAAGTAACTTTTATATTATAAATAATACCTAAAATTTATTTATTAGGACACTTCTTAACTCTTAATAGTAATTAATATAATTTTTAGTTAATTTAATACCTATATTACCGCCGTTGCCTGGGCCGCTAGTAACGCCTTAAATAATAACTTAAATAACGCCTTAGCAACCTGTTTTTTATGTTAATTTTTATTACCTTATTATGCTAATAGCCTTTTTAATAATATAGGTACCTATAGCATTTTTTAATTTTATAGCGCAAGCTAGTACCGCACCTTTAGCATGGCTAAAAATAAAAAATACCCAGGCTAACTTTTAGGCTAACTCTTAGGCTAATCCTTAACTATTTTAATAAATTACTATGCCCAAAGCCTCTTTGCAGGCGTAAGTATTTTTAATATTTTTTATTTTTATAGCACAAGCTAGTACTATATTTTTAATATAACTAAATATAAAGCTCTTGCAGGCTACCTTACAAGTGTAAGACCAACAAGTCTCAAAGATCTCTACTAATAATAAAGATATTGATAAAGGAATCTGACTAATAAGAATAGAGTATTTTAAACCCTGTTAAATAATATTAAAAAAGTTATTTAAAGATTTAGAAAAAAGGCTGGCCTTAAGGCTATTTTTATAAATTTTTAAGCTATGCTTAAGCTATTCCTAATTAAAAAGTAAATATAGGTTTAAATACTTTATACACGGGTTTTTACTTTAACCTATACTTAGGGCCTATCCTAGCCTTGCTTAACTAATAATTAAAACCCTAAATATTAATAACCTAGTTAAGTTATATAATTTAATATAATAATAAGGTATACTAAGCCTTGGCAGCCTAAGGCTAAAGCTTAGGTTACCTAAGGTATTAACTCTAAACTAACGGTGGATTGGCTCTGGTAATATTAAACAGAAAAACATTGGCCCTAACAATTTCACCAGCCGATCCATCAGCTTGTCAATACGCGGTAGCGGATAACAATTCTTGTTAATTATTATATTTAAACCGCGGTAGTTAACATAAAAACTGTTATCACCGTTATGGTGTTGCAACTGCGTAGTGTTATAATAACACAATCTGGTGGCCTAAGGCTGCCGGGCGGAGGAATATTAATATTAAACTAGCCGCGTGCCAAGGCAGCGGCCAGTTATATAATATATAAAATACTAAGTTTAACTTTAAACTTTAACTTAAAAAATTAGTAATTAGTTTTTATTATAAATATATAATGCCTTTTTTATTATAGTAATTTATATTTTTTTAAGCTTATTATAGTGTATAAATATAACTTATAATTTTAATTACTTTTTTTTTAAAAAAAAACTTATTTTATATAATAGTTAGGTAATAAACTTAATCCCAGGGGCTAGTAAATAATATTTTAAAAAAGTAATTATAAATCTTAACTTAATATTTAATTAACATGCCTAAAAAAAAATTTATAAACTTTAAACTAAAAAATCTTAAGGGCGCCCTTGCTATTAAACCTTAAATTATATAAAAAATATTAAAATATAAAAGGCCTGCCCAGGGGTAAGAAAATAAAAATAGTAAAAAAATTATTAAAAAACTATAGGTAATACTAAAAGTAATTTTAGTAAAAAAAAAGGAATTATAAGAATAAAAACACCGTAAAAAAAAAAATACTAATAAATTTATACTTAAATTAAAAAGGCATGCTAATAAATTATAAGGGCTAAAGCTAACTAGTAAATATATAATATATTTATTTAATTTATTAAGTAATTAATAATCCCGCGCTAAATAAACTTTAATAACCTTATAATTTTAAAAAAAACTACTAAAGGGGTTATAATAATAATAATATAATTTAAAAAAAACTTTTTAAAAAAATTATTATTTGCAAAACCATACCAGGCAAATAATATTAAAAAATTTAATAATTAAAAGTTAAACATGGAAATATACTTTAAAACCTTCCTAACTTATTACCTAAATAATAATTATAAAATATTTTAATTTATTAGATTTTTAGCGGAGGACCGCAGGCGGGAATAGTTTAATATTTATAAAATAAAAATTATATTTACCTAAAAAAATTTTTTTAACACGCTAGTTAAAATAATTAATAATAAAATAGTACTAGTTAATAACTTATTAATTAAGTAGGGTAACGCAAAGTAATAATTATAGTAAATTATTAGGTAATTTATATAATTATTAAACTAAATTAAAAAATACTTACCCTATAAGTATAAAAATAATTAGCACTAAAAATACTTATACTAAAAAATTTTAAAAAATATATAAAAAAAGTCCCTTATTTATAAATACTAAAAGCTAAAACACTATAATAATTATATATTATACTTAATAAGTATTAAGAATAACATGCTTAAGCAAAAAAAAATAATTATAAAAAAAAAAAAAGTTTTTTAACTAAACTTACACAAGGCCATTAGTAACTAAAGTTAAGGTACTTTTTATTATTAAAAAAAGTATAAAAGTAAATACTAGTATAAAATAACCTAATAATTTAAATAATTTTTTATTTATAAAAAAGCTATACCCAGGCAAATACCTAAACTATAGCCATGCTAAATATTTTAAGTAATATTACTAGTTATTAAGTAAAGGTTAAAAAAAAAAAGCACTTTTATAATAGTAACCTTTAAGTAAATTTAGTAATATAAAAAATATAAAACCTTAAAGCTTTACACGGTATAAGCTTTAAAAATTTATATAAAATAAAAAAATATGCCGCGGGCCTGGGTAATCTAGGTAAAAATAAAAAAAAAAATAAAAAATAATAATATATAAGGGTTTTTATTAACTTTAAAATAAAAGTAAATTTTATAAACTAGCGCTGGGCAAAGTCCTACCTAATATAAAGTAAAAAATTAGCCTATAAAATACGTGTAGTTAATAGCTATATAATAATATTTTATAAAAAATATATACTTATAGTTTATGCTAAAGATTTTACGCGTAATATATAATATTATTAGTAAAATTTTAAAGCTATTAATATTAATAATTATAATATAATTTTAGGATTTTTATGGCTGCTAGCCGCAATACTTATTTTAAATTAGTAAACTAGTAATTAAATATATAGTTAAAAAGTAAAGTATAATTTTAAATACTTATAATATATAATAATAATATAAAAATATACTATAAAAATTGCTGCAGGAGTTAAAGTACTTTTAGTATAAATTTTTAAGTAAGAAAACTATATTATAATACACCTTAATAAAGTAAAGGTTAAAAAAATCTTGCTGCCTAAATAATATTATAAATATATAAATATATTTTTTAAAGTAAAAGTAAATATTCTTATATTTTATTAATTTTATAATTATATAATTAAGTTAT